ATGGTTCTTCTGCATGTTACTTGTTAGAAAGGAGTCTATAGTAGTCCAGACTATATGCTATGGTTATGGTGGTAGAAACATGGCTTTAGCATTTTAAAAGTCAACTTTCATAGTTAGACAAAAAGTTCTTCCTTTTATTCTCTTATAGAAACTGAGCAATGACCTGGGAAAACAACCATGTCTTTTATGTGTTGGAAAAAATAACTGTCATTCTTCATCTCTCATTACCAGAAAACAGGTGTCGAGAGATGATGCTACTATTTTTTTTTTTTTTTTTTTTTTTTTTTTTTTTAATATTATTATTATATTATTATTATTATTATTATTATTATTATTATTATTATTTTTTTTTTTTTTTTTTTTTTTTTTTTTTTTAGACATGCTTTATACTTATATAGAAATAAATAAATAAAAATTATTAATCAGTCATACATAAGCAAAATTCTTTGTAGTACATATGTATATAGAGTGAGTGTGAGAGTGAGAGTGAGTGAGTGAGAGTTTGTGTGTGTGAGAGTGTGTGTATTTTGGGAAATGGACAAAATTCTTTGTGGCTAATATAGAAAAGGTATGAATTAGAATGACTAACTAAAACAAAGCAAGGGATATATTTCAATTCATTTTCTACATCAGAAAAGCATCAAGAAAAAACAGTGTGACATTTGGGTTACATCTTTTGCTTTTTTATTTTTTAGATATTTATATATTTTCCTTTTTAATCCATGTGTCCACAATTCCCTTTACACTGGAAAACGGTTTGACCACCAAATGGTTAAATCAATATTTGGTACCAATGACTTTTTCACTGACTTGAGACAAATTTGCACCACTTACTTTCCAGAATTGGCCAGCCACTCTGCCTGGGAGGCCTGATCCGCTATTTCAATGGGGAGCCAGGATACACGACGGTGGATGGATGGCTATTCTCAACTGGAGTGGTGATGGGATCTTTGCTTTACATATTCTCACATCACCCCTTCTTTTGGGGCATTCAACATAGTGGCATGCAGATTAGGGTAGCAAGCTGTGCCTTAATTTACAGAAAGGTATTGGTCTTTACACAAGGCTTTGGCATTGCATGAGACAATGCTTTATGAGTGAAATGTTTAATGTGCTTCATATTAAACTAAACTGCCTATCCTCAATTTTTGTAAGTGAGTGAGAGTGAGAGAGTGAGAGAGAAAATGTGGATGCGTGATGTGTGCCTATCTATGGATAATATAAATGGTTATATGCTAATGTATGAGCATATATATTATATAACATCATATTTCAGGTAAGATATCAAGTGTCATGAATGTAAGCATAATTGGGTTGATTCTAATTATTATCTGAATGAAAGAGCAAAGCTTTATGTCTGTGCTATGCCTATTTCTGCTGCTTCAAACTGCTTAGAATGTTGCTTTAAATATTACTTGATATAATTGCTTGGCAAGTGCACAGTTTACCTGCTTTATTATTTAAGTGCATTCCTTTTTTTTATGCTTCACTGCAGTTGCAAACATGACTTTTCTTAGTTATAAATATTATTGCCTCTCATCACTATGCTTTCAGACTGCACAACTATCTTTCTCTTTTGAGTTTAAATTTCAGAGTGGTGTATAATTTCTAAAGATTTTTTTTAATAAGAGAAAAGCACACACACACATTACACCATATATACATACATACATATATATATATATATATATATATATATATATATATATATATATATATTATATATATCTTTGTTTATCTATTCACACACACACACATTACACCTTATACACATACACAAACACAAGCATCCACAACACACACACACATGCACATGCACATGCACTCACACATGCACTCACACATACGCACTCGCGCATACACTTGCTCTCACACACACACAAACACACACTCGCACACACACTCGCACTCACACTCACACTTGCACTCACACTCACACTCACACTCACACTCACACACACACACACACACACACACACACATACATACATAACAGCCTGTTATCCTGTTATTGTTTTCTTCTCTTTCTTTTACTGTGAGCACATTATAAAGAAGTTTTTTGCATTTACATGTTTCAGAACAGCATGGTGATTCCTGCTTTGGGAAACCAGTTTCATTAGATAAAAGCCAGATTTATTTCTGATATTATTATTATTATTATTATTATTTATTTATTTATTTTTATTTTTTGTAATTCCTATGGGCCAAGGAAGATATCAAAAGTATATATCATGTCTTCTAAGATCTAATTAGGCCATTACCAGCAAGTTATGAAGATTACTATTAGAAATATTATTATTTTTATTGTCGATGATCAAAGATTTTTTTAGGTATATTTTTAAATCAGAAACAGAAGTATATAAAAAGCCTTTTCTTAGTGAAAGAACTTGTGTCTTCATTTGATAAGATATCAAAATAAATCTATAAGTGCCTTACATCTCAAGTTTCTCTTGTTTAAAATCTCTTTTGTGTGTTTAGGCATTACGCCTAAGCAAGGCTGCGCTGGGAAAGACAACAATTGGGCAGATGGTAAACTTGTTGTCTAATGACGTCAACCGCTTTGATACAAGTGTCATCTTCATCCATTACCTTTGGATTGGGCCTCTTCAGGTAAAGACAAATTTGCACTGGTAATTAAGGCTTGAAATCAATGATTGGTACTGATTTTTTCTTTGGGGGGAAATGCATATAGACTTGAAAACATTTTCTGTAAATAAGGTTTGTGTTTGATGTTTTCTTTCTCTTTTTTCCTTTACCATTACAGACAGCTATTGTATTGGCAATTTTGTGGCAAGAGTTGGGACCTTCTTGCTTGGCAGGAATCATGCTCTTGATTCTCTTTGTGCCTCTTCAAAGTGAGTTGTATTATGATTGTCTTATGATGATATTGTATATCTCTGATGTACCTTAATGTTTGGTTTTCTAATATTTCTTTATGATCTTATTTGTCAAGACTTGAAATACAGAAATCAAGACTGAAGGTAGACTACAGAATACCCTCTTGAGTTTTGCATCTACATGTGTCTAGTCAAGACCAAAATAATTGTGGTTTTGAATGAATTTTTGTAATGCCTAATCTGTTTTAGGATTATTACATGGATAGAATTAAGGCCTGGTTAGTGCTCTAATTCAATCTAATGTTTTTTTTTTTAGGTTGGATGGGTAAAGTCTTCTCCAAGCTGAGATTAGCTACAGCACATCGCACAGATGAGCGTGTAAGGATTATGAATGAAATCATCAATGCGATGAGAGTTATAAAGATGTATACTTGGGAGAAGCCTTTTACAGCACTAGCTGAGCAAGCAAGAAAGTAAGTATTGTAACTGTTGTGTTAACGGAGTGTAAGCAAAAACCAGGTCTGGTCATGGTTTAGATGGAACTGCTTTAAGGATTATATCTTTTGCTGAATGTGGTGTATTTCATTTAAAAGATTATCATGCGATGACTGATATTTTATTGAAAAGATTATTAAGCTATATTCTATAGCTTTCTGATTTTGATTTTACTTTTCAGGTCTGAGATTGATGTGATCATGAGGACAAATTATTATAGAGCTGTCAATATGTCTCTCTTTTTCACTTCTTCCAAAGTTATCGTATTTTTAGCATTGCTGACTTACATTCTGACAGGCAATGCCTTAACAGCTGAAAAGGTATGGATTTTGCTCATATTGTAAGCATTGACATTTATGAGATATAAATGGTATTTGCTCTTAGATGTTGTTTATATAGAGGATGTTCTGATCACTAAATGGAAATACATTTAGACTGGCTTTTGCTCTATAAATCCGTCAAAAATATAACTTTCTTTTTCAGGTCTTCGTCACCAGTTCTTTGATCAACAATGTCAGACTTGTCATGACCTTGTTCTTCCCATTTGGTATTGCTATGGGAGCAGAGACCAAAATATCATGCAAAAGAATTCAGGTTAGTTCTTTTGGTTGACCCTACTTTATGGGGAATTCAAGCACGTTTATGGAACAGAGGGAAGCAGAAAGTTCTAGTGATCTCTTTCTTCAAAATAAAATCTATTTTAAAAGGAGGAAATAAGATGACACGATAGCCAGGTAATTGAAAATAGAATTTTGAAATGTAAGAGTGCCTAAGTTTATATGAATTATCACAGAAAGAACTATTGATATTTTTCAAAAATATATTAAAACCTTTTCCTGAAGTTAATTTATAGAAAGCTTGATATTTTGATATGAAAAACTTTTCCTCAGGTTAATTTATAGAAAGTTTGATATTTTGATATTCTTCGTTTTGATGGTATAGGAAGTATAAAATTGCTCGTGTTACATAAAGATCTGTATTTTTCTGTTCCGTATAGCAGTACAAATCTTTTCTTTTTAGGAATTCCTGGAAATGGAAGAGAGAGAAGATACAAGCAGTGTGCAGAAATCCAATCTAAGGCCAAAATTAAAGGTAAAATGACAATTTTCCTCTGCTTCTTCATTCTTCACTTCCTTCTCCTTATCCTCTTCCTCTTTTTCTCATCCTCATTATTATTATCATTATTCTCCTCCTCCTCCTCCTCCCCTTTAATGTTATTACATTTTGTTTTGATGTCAAAATGCTGTAGTAGGCAAACATTTGTCATTTGGTAATGTTTTGTATTATTTATTTATTTTTTATTACATGTATTCATAGGATTGTGGAATAACAATAAATGGAGTGACAGCCAAATGGAGTGATGTAACAGAGGAGAACACACTGAACAACATCACATGTTCTGTAAAAGCCGGAGAACTGCTGGCTGTCATAGGCCCTGTTGGCTCAGGAAAGGTAGGATATTGAGTATTTTTGATAGTTTTTATGGTTATCTATTGATCATGTACCAATTTCATCATTATCACTGTCATCACTGTCATCATTTTCATTATCTATGTTTTCTTTTTCTATTTAGGGATCGCTTCTTCATGCAGTTCTTGGGGAATTACCAGCAAAATCGGGTTTTATATCTGTCCGTGGGAAGGTGGCATATGCATCTCAAGAGCCATGGGTGTTTTCGGGGACAGTGAAACAAAACATTCTCTTTGGACAACCTTATAATGAAAAGAAGTACAATGAAGTTATCAAAGGTAAGATTTATTGCCTCTGAGAAGTTATGAATGATGATACATCCTTTTGCTTACTGATTATTCACAGTGGAGCACTAAATGCCTTATTGCATAGAGATTATACAAACTTTATAGATGTTATAAAATGTTTAAAATGAATAGCCAAAAATATCTTGCAATCCTGTTTTACATGATTGAATCTTGTTTTGGTTTGCTCCTTAGAGCGAGCATTGGACTACTGCTAGAAATTAAAAAGCTCTAACAATCCTGTTTTATGTAATCTTATCTTCTTTTAGTGTGTGCATTAGAACGAGATTTGGAACTACTGCCAATGAAAGACATGACAATGGTTGGTGAGCGTGGTGTTTCACTCAGTGGCGGTCAGAAAGCAAGAGTCAATCTGGCCAGGTTAGTCAAACAATCATCCCCGTATGCTTACATTATAGCTGTAAATTAAATGAAAACTATTTATTCTTTCTGAAACAAGTCCATTATATCATCCCACCATGTGTAACTTCTACCTCAACAGGGCAGTGTATTATGATGCAGACATCTACCTACTGGATGACCCACTTAGTGCTGTTGATACTCATGTTGGACGTCACCTGTTTGACCAGTGTATAATGGGCCATCTAAAGCACAAAGTTCGGATCCTGGTGACACACCAGCTACAATACCTTAAAGAAGCAAATGAAATCTTGGTGCTTCGGGAGGTAATCAGCTCATCATTTGATGTTTAATCAGTACTAGAGTGTCATAGGTTGGGGAAGGTGATAAAAGAAGTTTCATGAGATTGAAAGGAAACAGCCAGTGCAGGTTTCATGTTGGATGTAATGGATATATTTGTTTGTTTAATTACTAAAGAAGTTCTTGGGGGAATTAGATAAATAATCTATTGTGTTTTCTATGCATTTGAAAAGTTGTGTGAAGTATTTGTTGCTATTTCTTTTTTTCCTTTTTTGTTAGGGTCATCCTGAAGCCATTGGAAACTATCGTCAGTTGGTCAACAGTGGAATAGACTTTGCCTCACTTCTAGCAGAAGGTCATGAAGAAGAAAAAACAACATCTCCTTCAAGACAACCTAGCACAAAAAGTGCTAAGAAGAATGGCTTTATTCCCACAGGAAAATTTATGCAAGAGGCTGAAAAATGTAAGTTTCATATGTCTTTCATAATTTAGGTCTTTAACTTTTATATAGGGTAGGTCAATGCCAAAAAATGTCTTTTTTTTCAACTACTTGTTAAGCTATCTCTAAATTATAGAATTTTTTTCTTTCCCTGGTTCATATGTATGGAGTAAGTAAGCATCCTCTATTTTTTTGAAGTGAGAAGATGAAGCTACTAATAGATTTAATGAGACAGTGACTGACACATGCCAATTTTCATTGCAGTTGGATCCTCATTATCTCTCACAAGGAGAGGACGTGTCCGTAACGACTCAGTTGCATCTGTACATGACTCTGTTGAGGCTGACAATATCCTAACCATTTCTGGAGCTCATTTGGCGGGATCTAGCTTGTCACTTGATGAAGACGTTAATGATACACCTACAAAAGTTGCAAAGAAAGTAAGGAATTACAAATGTACCATTTATGTTTGTTTTTTTTGTTTTTTGTTTTTTGATATTTTTCATTTATTTATTTATTAATTTCTAATCTGTTGAAGGGCATGTATCTAACATGATGATAGCACACCCACTCACTCAAAAACTCACACACACTGTAGAAACACATACACACACACTGTAGAAACACATACACACTTTAGAAAAACACACACACACACACACACACACACACACACACACACACACACACACACACACACACACACACACACACACACACACACACACACACACACACACACACACATGTACACACACACATGTACACACACACTGTAGAAACACACACACATTGTAGAAACACTCATTGTAGAAACACACACACACATTATAGAAATACATACACACACTGTAGAAACACATACACACACTGTAGAAACACATACACACACTGTAGAAACACATACACACACACACACAGAAACACATACACACACTGTAGAAACACATACACACACACACACACACACACACACACACACACACACACACACACACACACACACACACACACACACACACACACACACACACACACACACACACACACACACACACACACACTGTAGAAACACACACATACTGTAGAAACACACATATACATATATATATATATATATATATACATATTAATATATTTATAGGTACATACACACAAAACATATACATATATACATTGGGACATACATACAAGCATACATATAGCTATAGGTACATACATACACTCAACACACGCACACATGTGCATGCATGCCTGCTCTCACTTACCAGCTCAGACAGTCAATCATTCAATCAGTCAATCACACACACACACACACACACACACACACACACACACACACACACACACACACACACACACACACACACACACACACACACACACACACACACACGCTCATACACAAGCACACACACACATACAAGCACACATTTGCTTAAACGGAGGGTAAGAACTCAGCAGGGCAATACATTGCTAAGTGGAATGGTGGATTCATGTTTGAAATTGATCATCTACATATTAAATATGGACCTGCAAAATCCTAATTTTTTTGGAAGAGGATATAGAAAGTTATTAAGTAATATCTGATGAAGTGTAGAATTACTAATTGGATGGTTTTATTGATGATTTCTTAACACGCATGTTTACTAACAAGGTGTTTTCCTAATCAAATAATATTGACACAGCGGAAAGCAGAGAGAAGACTGAGGAACATTCAAGAGGAGAAATCGGAGCCGCTGGTGGATAAACTTTGTTTTTTATTGAGTTTTGTAGTTAGGCTATGATTTGTATTTTGTGCAAGTATGCTTTATTTCCATTTTTTGTTTTGTTTTGTTTTGAATGTTTTATGTGCATGACTACCATTCTTTTGTCTGATTTTGATTCTAGAGTTTTGTAAATGTTTCAAGTAGGTAGTTCAGTGCTTTGTCTTTTTTGCTCATTATCTTTGTGATTCATTACACCTTTTATTACACCATAATTTAGATAACATTTTTATATGAGTAATATTACAAATCCCCTCCTCCCCCCTTTTTTTTTTTTTTTTTTTTAGAAAATAATCACTTCAACCGATTATTGATTTTTGATAGATTAACAGTAGTTGTAAAGTAAAATAGATAGTAAGATAGTATTTGTTTGTAGCTTCAGTGATTTTTTCTTCCTTTGATTTGATACTCTCTTAATTTCTATATTTGAAGTTTTTTCCAGAGTTTCATATATAAGCACTTGATCAACAAGGACAGTATAGGAATTAGAGAATGTCCAGAATTACTTGTATGTTTTGCAAATTTTCTGTAGAAATGTTATTTTCTTACTTTGTTTTGGCTAAAAAGAACTACAGGTATATTAATTTTATTTGGAACTCCCAAATGAAATTAATATTTGCACAAGAAATGTATTTGTGACTTGCATATTTTTATATCAGATTTATTCAATCACAGAATGGGTATATGAGTCGGCTAATGTATAATTAAGTAAGAAATTATCAAGATATTGTTTTCATGTTGGTATGACGTCAAAATATGTTGTTTGGTCTGTTAAAATGCTTCAAGGTTGAATGTATGGTCACTGCACTTCTCCTTGCACTTATGTTTTACAATCTTATCTTTTTCACAAATTTTGTAAAGAAGGATGTGAAGCATATTTTATATGATAAATAGAAAATTATATAATTTTCATCAGCTTATAAACATAACATTTTCTTTTCCAATACATGATAGTTTATGGAATATAGAAGATTGTATAACTTCCATTATCATCTTATAACCCTTGGATTCTTTTCTTTTGTTTTCAAGCTGAAAGACATGGATGATGGTGCAGACAAGGACGGGGCTGAGGAGGGCCAGGATGGTGCCGAGGTGAGGTCAGTTGGATCAGTCAAAGCTAGCATATACCTTCAGTACTTCCTGGCTGGAGGCGGCTGGTTTCTGCTGATTGTGCTCTGCTTGGCCAATGTCATCACCCAAGTCCTCTTTTCGGGGACAGATTATTGGCTTTCTTACTGGTGAGTTGCCTTCTTAGCTCTCATGTGGGTGAATTCTCTGTGTATCCAGGCTTTTGAATTCAGCTTCGTACACTCTAAGACTGTGTACATCTGTCTCTTCTTCTCTAGCATGCCTTTTTTTCTTTCTTTTTTCTTTTTTCTTATGGATGAATAGATCATGTATAAAAGGTTATATTCGAAATGTTAATAAGTGTTTTATTTCTTCTATTTTAGGGCAAATGGTGAACAAATCCGTGCAAGATTACTTCTCGAGGCCAGTGAAAATATGACATTGGCAGTGAATGGGTCTGCTATATCTTATCAAGATGCACCAGTTCCTGAGGGCTACCTTGACACAATCACTAATGTTTATGTGTATGCTGGTAAGTAATGATTTTTTTCTACCTTTTTTTTTATATTGAAAAGAAATGTATATCCAGAAAATCAAAGACTACTTCATTATTCACAGATATCATAATTATATCATTATCATTTTTATTGAAGATATACAGTATAAGTTGCAAGTATAGCTAGAAGAGAAGAGTGGTATATTTTAAGTAGGACTTCATGTCAAATTCTGTATCACCAAAAGGTCTGACTGCTGCGTTGTTCGTGCTCTCACTTGGACGTACTGTGTTGTTCTTTGTGATGTGTATGACATCCTCAAGAAATCTACACAACAGAATGTTTCAGTCAGTAATTCGAGTCCCAATAAAATTTTTCGACACACACCCAGTTGGTAAGTATTCTTTGCTTTTACTGTCTACTTTTGTCATTCCTGACATGTCTGTCTGTTTGGTGATAGGATTTGTTATCATTTCAATTTGTGATTGCAGTAAAGTCCTGACAGCTGATACCTTTGAAATTTCTTATGTTAGTAGCACTGTAAGGAGATTTTTGTGGCCCATATTAGCAGTTGTTCTTGGTTGGAAGATTTTAAAATTTTTGGTTTATTTCTTAAAAGTGTTTTGTTTTTCCCCAGCATTTCTATGATTTAAGATATGATTTTTGGTCAAGAATAGCTATCATTTTGTACTTTATCATCTACTTGTATATCCAGTTTGATCATAGGAACAATTTATGTATTCTCTCCCCCCCACCTGTTCTTGCAATGTGAAGGTCAGATTCTAAATCGCTTCACAAAGGATCTTGGCCAAATTGATGACTTTCTGCCTGGAACAATGTGGGATTTTCTTGAAGTAAGAAAATTGAACAGTCAAAGTTTGCATGGGTTTGCCTGGTTGGTTTTGCTTTTCAGTAATGAGGCTGTACAGTTTCAGTTGTGGATTTGATTACAGTACTTTTTTTGTGTTCCATATATTCCATTTGAGTGAATAACAGCAAACACTGGATTTGTGTAAGGATTTGATACCAGATATCTGCAAAGAATGATTGTTGATGTGAAGGAATCACACCCACAGGTACCCTTCCCCTTTTCTGTACCTTTGCCCATTCCTTTACCCATACCCTTACCCATGTTCAGATCCTTGGCATCACACATGCCTGTAGCCATGTCCATACCCATGAAAGATCATGTTGTTGCCCATGCCTTTGTCCATGTCGTTGCTGAAAACCTAATCCATGTTCACATTCTTGATCATACTCATACCTCTACCCATACCCATGCCTTTGTCCAGGTCCAAGTCATTCACACCATACCCATACCATTGCTCACAACCATGCCCAACATCATGCCTACACCTATATCCAAATCAAACAGCCACGCCCACATCCTCTATCCTAATCTCATGGTCATGGCTGCGTCTATGTTAACACCCTCTTATCCGCACACACATACACATACATGCACACGCACATATACAATTGCACATGTGCATGTATATATGTACATTAACCCCTTCCTATTGGGTACCATGTTTGTACATGCCATGGTTGTTGTGGACCAAGTAGCAAGTGACATAGCATCACGACCATTTGCACACTGTTGGCTCATCAGACAGAGCTTGTTTTTCTCCAGTAGTAGTGATATTATTTGTATGGTGAAACTTTTAGGCAATAGCACTTAAAGGTAAACCTTCACCTAAAAAAAAGAAAAAAAATATATATGCTTTTAGGTGCTTAATGTTGCCTGAAACTACCAAATGAACCAGGCACAAACAAAAAACTGTTGATGTGTGCCAGTAACCTCATGATATAGTCCAATTTTTTAAAGATGGGTCAGTGGATTAACACATACTTCTACTATGCACATGTGCATGCACACACACTCACTCACTCACTCATTCACCCACCATGAAAACATCCAAAAACACATAAAATGGCTTTTTTTTTTTTTTTTTTTTTTTTTTTTTTTTTTTTTTTTTTTTTTTTACTGCCGAGCCTCCACATTGCCATATACTTCAGTTTTTTTTGCAGATTCTTGTTGTAATGTTATGTAAATGTTTTTGTTGTTATTCAGATTTTGAAGTTAGATTTTTCATAGTTGGCTGCCACTTCTTCCTTTTTGCATCTGATGATACAAAATTTGGTATACATGTATGGTGGAAATGTTTGTGAATGAAATTACTTATTTTTTTTCCTTGGTCAGGATTTTGCAAAATTTATCTGAAATTAAATTTAAGGATAACATTCCTTGATTGGAAAAGTTTTAGGAATTCTATAGTTGTCATTGAGAAAAAGTTTGTAGTGTGCAAAAAAGAATTTACAATGAATTATTATCAATGTGCATATAATGGCTGATTACTAAGACAGCATAGAATTACATTCAGCTGAAAAAACTGGTGAGTGGTCCATTGGAATTGAGTCTGAACTTTGGCCATTGAAAGAGAGGCCTATCCATTAGATGTAGGATATAATGAAGATGAAATAATATGAGACCGACATTCAACAACTCGTATAATATGTTTAAAGCTGATTAAGGAGTATTTAAAATTATGATAATAATACTATGCTTTAAGCTTCAGCAGCGGATAAGGTGAAGTAGAGAAGAAATTTTGAGTCTGCTAGAATTGTTACACTTTCTGAGGAATTTCATTTAATATCTTACACTTTTTTGTTTTAATTATATGTGTTGCACATGCAATTGTACAGTCACAGACACCTTTTAGGAAGAGTTTCCTTAATGAATCAGCATACGTGCAATGCACTAGCTCTCAAATACCTAGACACCAAATTTTTCCCTCAAATTTCAGGCCAAGTTCTTAACAGGTTTTCAAAAGATACAGGCCAGATGGATGAACTGCTACCATCTACCATGTTTGATTTCTATACAGTAAGCAATTGATAGCACATGTTATTGGTGGTGACGGTGCTTAACTCTGCTGAAAACTGGTGATGGGATTTAACTTCCCCTTTATGTCATAATCTTCTGT